ATAATTCAATTAAAAACGAAAAGATTAAATTTTACAAATCAAATCATTTTTTTTCAATAACAAAAATTGATAGCTATTCATTTTGATTAATATGAAAGATAGAAAAATCTTTACTGCGTTATTTGAGGGCGAACGTTGGATACGAATGAGGATATAGGTAAAAGAAAGACATTCCTCTCTTCACATACACATTCAATCAGTAAGTAATCTCTTACTCAATAATTTCTATTGAAAAAGCGATTGGATAGTTGCTGATGTCCCATCATCATTTATTTGTTCGAAAGGATTAATTATATTACAGTACATAAAAATAAAATCATCTTTTCAATTATTGAAGGATTACACAACTCACTTTTCAATTTTCAAATATGATTATAAATGATAGCTATATATGTTATTTAAGAACAGAATATATTCTTATTCAAATTCAGTTCTACAATGACAAAAATAACGACAATCAATTGTTTCGTCTTTGTTCTTTCGAGGTATTTAAAATTTCGTTGTTTTTGTTCTAGACTTTTCTATGTTTAAATATATTTCATTTTAGTTTGATAGGTTTGTTTACTATTTCACCTTACATGTTTATCTATAGTATAACTGTATCTAATAGTTCGAACAAACTCTAAAATATGTAATAGCACAACTGAATATGATCGATGTTCCAGTAATAGTGCTTGTGGATGCTTTCCTACGGTAACTGCTGATAATGTTGGTGTCTGTGCTTTTCTTTGGACATTCTGTTCTCAACTTATACCGTGTGGATCCTTACAAGATTGTTCTAATCGAGATCATATCTGTGTACACCATTCTCGATGTAGTAATTTTCCTGTTTGCTATCCATTGTCGATGATGAATGAATCTATTTGTCCACCACAATCAAGCAGTAAGTAGAAAATATACAATCTATACTCGTTTCTAATGTGAAAAATTGCCTAATGTAAATAATTTGTATTGATGAATAGTAACAAATACGACAATGACGACTACCATGCCAATGCAAATAACAACGACAAGTGAGTTCAGGAACTATTTAATCGACAATCAGAGAAATCAATGTGAACAATACAAGAATACTTGTATTCCACATAGGAATATAAGAAATATAGTTTGATTGATACAAATTTTGTTGATTAGTTATAAGACACTGGAAATATTGAGAATGACTTGACTTTTTAAGGGACAAAAGTCTATTATATATCAATTTCTTTTCTGCTCGCTTTCAGAAATAAAATTCAGCAAATGGAATCAAAGTGCAACGACTGTCGCCGGAGGAAATGGACGAGGAGATAAATTAAATCAACTTAATCATCCTGTCGGAATCTTTGTTGATCAAAACAAGAATATTTTTATTGCTGATGAGGAACATAATCGTATTATGAGCTGGAAATTAGATGAACAACAAGGAACAGTTGTTGCTGGTGGAAATGGACAAGGATATCGAAAGGATCAGTTATATTGGCCAGCAGATGTAATTTTTGATGAACAAAATAATTCATTGATCATTGCTGATCGGAAGAACATACGAGTGGTTCGATGGTTTAATAAAAACCAACAAGAAATTCTTATTTCAAATATCGATTGTTGGGGTTTGGCGTTGGATAAATATGGATTTCTTTATGTTTCTAATTCTCGAGGAACTGAAGTGAGAAGATGGAAAGTTGGAGAAAAAGAAGGAAAAATAGTTGCTGGAGGAAATAAAGAAGGAAATCAACTTAATCAATTGAATTTTCCTACTTTTATTTTTGTTGACAATGAACAATCAGTTTATGTTTCAGATATGGGAAATCATCGTGTGATGAAATGGTTAAAAAATGCAAAAGAAGGTACGATTGTGGCTGGAGGAAATGGAAGCGGAGATAATCTTAATCAATTGAATCGTCCTAGTGGATTATTTGTTGATGATTATGGTCAAATCTATGTGACAGATCAATGGAATAATCGAATAATGCGTTGGAGTGAAGGAAATGCAGAAGGTGAAATTATTGTTGGTGGTAATGGATTAGGACAAGATTCAAATAAATTGTCTTCTCCCCGTGACTTATCATTTGATTCGGAAGGAAATCTTTATGTTAGTGATCGTGGTAATGATCGGATTCAAAAGTTTGCCTTCATTTCTGAATAAAAATTTCATTCGAAAAAGACAAAACAGTTTTTGGTCTTAATGGAAAGAAACTTTTTAAAGAAGAAGAAAAAAGGACAAAATCTTGTTATTGATTTCAACTAAAAATTTTCCATTGAGATAATTTCAAACTTGAGAATGTAAAATAATGATCGTATCTTTTTCTCTTGCGAGTGTGGGTAGAGGTGTAAGCCGGTAGGGTCATTAGCGGCGCGGCGGCTTGAAATTTAAAAAAGTATCATATTATCTTGAGAAAATAAAAACTTGGCCATCTCAATATAATAAAGTACATAACTGATAGTAAGCTGAACAATAAATAAAAGTATAGAAGTTCATCAAAAATGTTCATAACTAGAAAAAAATATGCAAAAAAACAAATAAAATCTTAGGTGTGGGTGCAGGTGCGGGTGTGAATATAGGTTGAACCAAATGATCACACTCACACCCACCCACACCCACACCCTCATTGTCTATTCTTTATTTTATGTTCATTCCTTTTCTAAACTTAAATATGTGTTTTTCTGAAAATGGTTCATCGAGCTCTTTATCATCGAAGATTGATTTAACTAAATCTTCTAGTTCAAGTTCTTCGAATTCATTATCATTTAATATAAATTCTTTCAATTCTGAAAAAGTTAAAAATTTATTATTAAATAAAAAATCAAAACATGGAGTTATTAATATTGATTGATAGATATTATGTTTTATTTGAACATGGAGTAAGATTGTGCTAGAATTCGGTTAGAATTACAGTAAAACCTCCCTAATGTGAACACTAACGGGACCGGAAGAAAGTGTTCATTATACGGAGGTGTTCACTATAGAGAGTTAATATATAATATAGCGTGAAATGGAAGAAATCTTAGAGTATTTGCTTATGCCTTTGAATAGCTGCCTAATTTGGGCTCGAATATAAACGGATCTTAAAAAAAGAAAAACTAATACCTATTTCTAGCAATAGATTTAGTTTTAGAATAATTTTTAGATAAATCTGCCTCACCCGCTTTGCCACCTTCTTTCACCCACCTCTTAGTCGTATATATGAATCATATACATCTTAGAGTAACACTAAACCTAAAACTGAATCTATTCCTAAATTTCACTATTTGTTTCAAAATTAGTAGTGTGCAGTTGGATATCTATTAATATTCGAATTCGAATTAGACAGCTCATCAAAACAGATGACAGGAAGTAGAAGAGGTCAAAAACGCAACATATATATGTTCCTGGCAAAATTTGCTTTTCTTTCCGCGTGGAAATTCGAATTGTATTTTTTTTTGGTTAGGAAAATTCGTAATAATTTATAAGATAAATAACGTATCAATTGCTTAAGAGAAACTTATTTTAAAATATTTTATTGAGTAGACATGATATTCGCACGATCTGATATGATAAAACTTATTCAATGAGGGTGTGGATATAGATAAAGCGACAGGTTACACCCACACCCACACCATCAAGATCTTTTATTGAATTTAATTTAATTTGGAATATATTCTGAAAAGTAACAAATATTTAACAGTTATCAAATGATTGATATCGAATCTAATCTATCCTATCGTATGGCTGCTTTCTTCTTGTAGAAGCATACTTGGAGTTCTCTGATATAGTAACATAATTTAATTGTGTGAATTTGAATTTGAATAGTTGATTGTTAAATAGTGATATGTTCTCCTCCTCTCTTTTGTCGTTCTTGGTGTTTTCCCTTATAATATATATATGAGGGATTTTTCTTTGCGTTCTATTTTTCTTTCTTCACACATATGAATCATTCTCTTTTCTCTTGTCAAGATCTGACAGGTGATATTCCATTTTCACTCGTCATCACTTGGGGAAGATTCCATGTGTGGATAGTTTGTGTTGTTCACTGCCATCTATATAAACCAATTGATTCCAATAAACGGGATCGACTGTGGGAGTCAGGATCATCTAAACGCTTCACTTTGGTCCGCTTCAATAGGATTCTAAAACCTTATTTTAGTGTTTTTACCCGCTGCGAAGGACAGAAATTGACTCACTATTCGAAGTCTGATAACGTCACTTTTATCATTCACTACGACAGAACGAGATAACGTCTCAATATCACATATAGCTTCAAAACATGCAATCATTTGCAAAGTTTCGAAAATATCATTTTTGTCTTTTTATTGAGGAATTTGTGTGAATAGGTGTACACGTGCATGCAGATCTAAAGAGAAGACGCCCACATCCACACTCACCCACCTACACTGATTTCAACACCTACGCCCATCCAATCCACACACACACTCTTAAGATTAACTATTTTAACACAAGATCAATCAAAATATACAACTATTCTTGCTAACCTTATTTCACAAGGCCTTTTTTTACGTATGGAAAAAGATGTTACTATAAGATGTCGACGTAATGATACAAATCTTGTTAAACAACTTATTCCTGATGCAATGGATCGTTATAAACAAGAATTAAAACAAAAAGATATTAAAATTACAATTGATGATAAGAATTTTTTACCTGATGAATCGTTTGTATATTCAAAATAAGATTATTCAAAAAAAATTAAAATTTAACTTTTTGTTTAGAGCTGGTGGTGTTGAACTTTATGCAATGGGAGAAAAAATTAAAGTATCGAATACAATTGAAGCTCGACTTTCAATGATTTTTAATCAAATCTTCCTGAAATACGAGAAAAATTATTTGGTGTTAATCAAAATAGAAAATATCATGATTAATTTATTTTATTTTTCCATAAACATTCCGAGATAGACAAAACAAGTACAATTCTTTTTTCTCTTTTCTCTTTAGCCGATTCCGAATAAATAAAGTTCTATGTCAATGTGTATGTCACCCATGTCTAGTTAGAAATATTTATTTTATTTTATTAAATTCAAAAACTCATCGATCGGACAAAAAATAATTTAGAGGAGAATTTTAAGATACAAAAATCTTTTTTCAATACACTTTCAACAATGTTGATTTCAAATATGACCATGAGAAATGCCCTTAGGCCTTTTTATAAGGTGTAGGTGAAAAATTTATTTTATTGCTATGTCGATATTTTGATAGATTGAAATAATAAAGTATATAGATTTATCTATGTCGAAAGGGACTTAAGCTTTTTTAAATGTTAAACCGAAATGCATGTAGAAAGTGTATTTATCGATAAAAGTTATTCATGTAAAATAAAT